TATCCCACCTGAATTTAGAGACCATCTGAAGAATAGATGTGACCCAATGGACACTAATAAGACTAGACATGTTGTGGAATGACATCAAGGACATCATCCATGAAGAAAGCAACAGGCCATTACAAAGACAGGAAAGAAAGAAAAGACCAAAATGGATGTCAGAAGAGACTCTGAAACTTGTGCTTGAGTGGGAAGTAGATAAAGTGAGTGGAAGAAATGAGGTAAAAGAGTGGAACAGAAGATTTCAAAGGAAGGCTTAAGAAGACAAAGTAAAATACTACAATGAAATGTGCAAACACCTGGAAATGGAAAATCAAAGGGAAAGAACATGCTCAGCATTTCTCAAGCTGAGAGAACTGAAGAAAAGAATTCAAGTCTTTAGCTAAAATATTGAAGAAATCTAAGGGCAAAATATTGAATGATGCAGGAAGCATCAAAAGAAGACAGAAGGAATACAGAGTCACTGTACCAAAAAGAATTGGTTGATGTTCAACTATTTCCAGAGGTAGCACATGATGGAGAACCAGTGGTATTGAAGGAAGAATTCCAAGCTGCGCTGAAGGCACTGGCAAAAAAACAAGGCTCCAGGAACTGATGGAATAACCCTGAGATGTTTCAACAAATGGATGCAATGCTGGAGGTGCTCACTTGTCTATGCAAAGAAATTTGGAAGACAGCAACCTGGCCAACTGACTGGAAGAGATCCATATTTGTGCCCATTCCAAAGAAGGTGATCCAACAGAATGCAGAAATTATTAAACGATATCAGCATTATCACATGGAAGTAAAATCTTACTGAAGATAATTTAAAAATGGTTGCAGCAGTATATTGACAAGGAACTGCCAGAAATTCAAACCAGATTCAGAAGAGGACATCGAACAAGGGATATCATTGCTGATGCCAGATGGATCTTGGCTGAAAACAGAGAATACCAGAAAGACGTTTAGTGGTGTTTTATTGCAAAAGCATTTGACTATATGAATCACAACATATTATGGATAATGTTGTGAAGGATAGGAATTCCAAAACACTTAATTGTGCTTGTAAGGATCTTGTACATAGATGAAGAGGCAGTCGTCTGAACAGAACAAGGAGATGCTGCATGGTTTAAAACCAGGAAGAGTGTGTGTCAGGGTTGTATTCTTTCACCATATTTATTCAACCTGTATGCTGAGCAAATCATCCAAGAAGCTGGACTGAGTGAAGAAGAACACAGCATCAGAATAGGGGGAAGACTCATTAACAATCTGCGATATGCAGATGACACAACCTTACTTGCTGAAAGTGAAGAAGACTTGAAGCACTTACTGATGAAGATCAAAGACTACAGCCTTTAGTATGACTCACACCTCAACATAAAGAAAATGAAAATCCTCACAACTGGACCAATAAGCAACATCACAATAAATGGAGGAAAGCTTGAAGTTGTCAGGAATTTCATTTTACTTGGATCCACAATCAATGTCCGTGGAAGCAGCAGTCAAGAAATCAAACATATTTCATTGGGCAAATCTGCTGCAAAGAACCTCTTTAAAGTGTTAAAGAGCAAAGATACCACTTTGAAGAATAAGGGGCACCTGACCCAAGCCATGGTATATTCAATGGCCTCATATGCATTGAGAGCTGGACAAAGAATAAGGAAGACCAAGGAAAAGTTGATGCGTTTGAAATGTGCTGTTGGTGAAGAATATTGAATATACCATGGACTGCCCGAAGAAGGAACAAGTCTATCTTGGAAGAAGTACAGCCAGAATTCTCCATAGAAGCGAGGATGGTGAGACTTCAGCTCATGTACTTGGAACATGTTATCATGGGGGACCAGTCCGTGGAGAAGGACATTGTAAAATAAAGGGTCAGTGAAGAAAAGGAAGACCTTCAACAAGCTAGATTGACACAGTGGTTACAATGGCCTCAAATGTAGCAATGATTGAGAGGATGGAGTAGGAAGGGTAGTGTTTCTTTCTGTTGCATGTAAGGTAGGTGTGAGTTGCAACCAACTGAACAGAACCTAACAAGAGCAACAACATAAGTGTACCCAGGAGCCCAAGTGATGCAGTAATTAGTGCTTGGCTGCAAACCACAAGGTTGTGGTTCAAACCCACCAGATACGTGTGGCAGTCTGCTCCCATAAAGATTATAGCCTTGGCCATCCTGTGGGGCAGTTTTACTCTGCCCTATAAGGGTGCTGTGAGTCAGAATCAACTTGATGGCAGTGGGTTTTTTGGTATAATGTGTATCCAGATGACTTTTTCATACTTTTTTTCTACTGTTTCTTCCACCCAGTATTGGAGTATTATAAATGTTGGAAGGGTGACTATTTAATTTATCATCCAAACTGAGACATTGTTGAGGATGGTAGGAGACACATCAGGATAACAACTGTAAACTGGGACCAACCTGATTAACACGGGATGGATGACCCCCTCAGTATCAGTGACCCGATCTCACCTGCCTCCCCTACTTGGGATTTGATGTCCTTGGGGCAGAAACTTCCCTTACATATAGAAGGTATTCAATAAATTTTGGTTGAAATGAATGTATGTACAATGGAGACTTTAATGCTAATTTAGATTATGCTCAAGATTCTAGTCTGTTTTTTTCAAGTTGAGGAAAATTGGCACCATGTTCTATTCTCCATTTCCCCAGATGTGTTGAGCTCGTACTTCTATCTTTTGCAGAGCAACTATGGGATATGATTTAATAGGCCCTGCAAGAGGTTTGGGGGACACTTAGACTCTGTGACAGTGCTCCCTTCCAGGGCTGACCTGTCACCTCCCAAGGCAGTTAATTAAACAGACCAGCTATTCTATTTACCAGACTTGGAGGGACATGGAAGTGATCAGATTGTAATCTTGAGGAGGTGAAGATGTGAAGGGAAGAATCAAGAATGTTTGAAGGAATGGCTATAGCCTATACTTGTGACATCACGGCCAGCAGACCTTTCTTTGGCTGCCTGTCCCAGGGCCAAGTCCTTCACCAGGCACCACCACATAGCGAGCTAGCTGACTTTGGTGCTCGGCTTCTTCCTTTCATGGCCTCTGGAGGAAAAGGGCCATATGCCTGACAAGGAGCATGGACCTGGTATGCTTCTGCTAGTTAATTGCATTTTGATTGATTGGGACAGTGTCACACTGGGACAGATGACTCATGGGATTCTCTTTGGGATTAGACTTTCAAGATTCTGAGTGCCATGGCAAGCATACAATTTGCATAAGAGTTTAGCCTTAGAGTTTTGGATGAGAATTGGATGAGAATTCTAGGCATGTGGTTGGACATTTAAGCTGAAAGAGAACTCGGGTTTAATCATGGTAGTGTTTTGTGTAGGCCTCATCTTTTTCTTTTTATCGTGATAAAATATGTACAACAAAAATTTGCTGGTTTCATCATTTTTAAGTGTACAATTCAGCGACATTAATTACATTCACCATATTGTTTTGCCATCACCACTATCTCCAGACAGAAACTCAGTGAACTCCTTCTCCCACCTGCCCCTGGTACTCAGCAGCCAACCTTTGTCTCTATGCATTTCTCTATTCTGGATATTTCATATAAGGGGGATCATGTAATATTTGTCCTTTTGTGACTGGCTTATTTCTTAGCATAATGTTTTCAAGTTTCACCCATTTTGTAGTATGTACTGGAACTCCATTTTTCTTTATTGCTGAATAATATTCTATGGCATGTATATACTACATTCTGCTTATCCATTCATGGACACTTGGATTGTTTCCGCCTTTTGGCTATTGTGCATAATGCTGCACTGGATGTTAGTCTACACTTACCTGTTTCTGTCCCTGCTTTCAAGTCTTTGGGGTATATACCTATGTTGTTGTTGCTGCTGTTGTTATGTGCCATTGAATCAGACCCAACTCATAGCAACCCCTCCTTGCATTTCCAAGGTGGTATCACTATGGAAGTAGATTGGCCAACCTTCCTTCTGAGGAGTGGCTGGTGGGTTTCAACTGCCAGCCTTCTGGTTAGCAGTCAAATGCCTTAGGTGCTATGCTACCAGAGCTCCCATTATATAGGCCCCATCTTAGAAAACTCTAAGTTTGTGAATAACATACCAAAGTATTCCAGAGGATCTAAAGGGCCTTGTTGTTGTTGTTGTTGTTATGTGCCATCGATAAAGGGCCTTAGAGATCACAAAGTCAAGCTCCCTCTTTGGGTAGAAGAGCAAAATAAAGCCCAGAGAGAGGAGAGGAATAGCAGTCCCACACGAACCCCTTTCTTTCTTCACCTTGTACCATGGTCTTACTGGTTTATGAAAGTAAAACAAAATTGGCCATTTGCAGATAATTATTGCTATGTATTTAAGGAGCCCTGGTGGCACAGTGGTTGAGGCACTTGGCTGCTAACCAGAAAGTCGACGGTTCAGTCCCATGAGTTGCTCTGTGGAAGGAAGATGAGGCAATCTACTTCTGTAAAGATTTACAGCCTTGGAATCTCTATGGGTTGCTATGAGTCAGAGTTGACTCAGTGGCAATGGAGTATGTATTTAATAAGAAATAATTGATAGCTAGATGGTCTTTATTTGCAATCTCTTTTTCCTACAGAATTAGCTATTATATAGTCTTCTCTGAGAAGAACTAGACAGTGTCTAATTGGTTTTGTTTTGTTTTGTTTTGTTTTAGGTCAGCCTTCCCAGTGATCCAAGCTGTGTGGAGGAAATCCTGCGGGTGAGTTTAAATGTTTGTTTCTGTGCGTTTTTATAAGGAGGCCATCTATCTGCTTAAGCTGTTTCAAGTAATTACTGTTTTGTTTCAAGGAAGATCAGGCTGAGGAATCCTCGCTCCCCCTTCAAGACCCTTCTGCTTCTATTTCCTGGGTCGTTTCTCTCCCTCCTCTCATCCTCTAACCAAGCTGGTCTCCGGATCTCACTGAGCCTCCCTCCCAGTCCTTCTCAAAGTCTTACTTTAAGTCTTGGACAGAGAACTCATCACTTCCTTTAGGGAAGTGATTCCCTATTCAAGTCTTGTGAGCTACCTGAAATCCTGGTCTTTCTGTTTTCTGGGCTCTCAACTCACACTCACTGCAGACTCCTTCTGCATTGTTGATGGAACATGACTATGGAGACTGCAACCTTGACTGAGGAGACATTATGGGAAATGTTACTAATGGGAATGAATTTATGCATGAGAGTGGAGTGGCATGGAGGTAAAACAAAGGTGAAAAATGCTGCTAGCACCTATCCCAAAGCAAACAATTAAACAACAATGAAAAACCAAAGCAAAGTCCCTCCTCACCCCCACCCCCCACCCCCCAAAAAGTATCTACTATGTCTGGCTATTGGCATTATATGGCAGTATGGGTTGTCAAGAGTAGGAGTCAGGAGACATGAGTTTGAGTCCTGGCTCTACCATTTGTCACCTGTGTTGACTTCTGACAGATGACTTCATCTTTCTGAATCTCCCTTACTCGTTTCTAACAGAGGACAACAATACCTGGCCTAATTCCCCAATAAGCTGCCAGGCCAGACGTAAATGATAACTGCTCATCAGTGTAGCGCTGAGCAGACCATGCAGACCTTCAGTGTGGAAAAGAAACCATCCATGTGTCAAGAACAATTCTGCACTCCCTTTCCCCACTTCCCACAGTCATGCCTACTCCCTCCTGGGCATCCCTGTGCTAAGTGTCTTCTTAAACCCATTGCTGACAAGTTGATTACAACTCAAGGTGACCTCATGTATGTCAGCGTAGAACCATAGGGTTTTCAATGGCTGTAACATTTCAGCTGAGAGGAACTCTGGTGGCGCAATGCCTAAGGCATATGGCTGCTAACCAGAAGGTTGGTGATTCAGACCCACCAACCCCTCTGTAGAAGGAAGACAAAGCAATCTACTTCCATAAAGATTTACTGCCTTGGAAACCCAATGGGGGTTGCTATGAGTCAGACTCAACTCAATGGCATTGGGTGTTTTTTTTTTTTTTGGTGACATTTTGGAAATAGATTGCCAGGTCTTTCTTCCAAGACACCTCTGGGGGTATTCCAACCACCAACCTCTTGGTTTGCTTTACCATTTCTGCAACCCAGGGACTACAAGTTCCTTCTTAAAAAAAACAAAAAAGAAAAAATGCCATCCAGTCCATTCTGACTGTTAGTGATGCTAAAGGACAGGGTAGAATTGCCCCCATAGGATTTCCAAAGCTGTAATCGCTACAAAAGCAGACTACCACATCTTTCTCCCATGAAGCCTCTGGTGGGTTCAAACCACTGACTTTCTGGTTAGCAGCTGAGTACTTAAGCATGGTGGCAACAGGGCTCCTCTTAGTCCGGTGAAAATGCAGCCAAAGGAGTTAAAAAGAGCAGAAAGCTGTTTCACATCTGGATGGCCCACACCTCATCTCCACTGCTGTGGATAGTCATACATCCGTTTCAGCCCAAGAACATTGTTCCTGACTGTTGAGATGAGTCCAGTCATGCTAACCAGAGGTGAGGATAGGGGAATTAGGGATATGCTGGCCATTTGTGTGAGATAAGAGCCCACCAGCCCCTGGGTCATCTCTCCCCAGTGCCCAAGGGCAGGGATGGAGGGCGGTGGCTGTTGTGAATTCCACAAGGGTGACGAACCCTGGGGACTCAGCCCCCTGTTCCTTCCCACTGTGGGGAGATAGGTAAAATGCACCCAATCCTTGTTAGCCAGCCACCTTCCCGAGTGCAAGGTAACATTCAAAGAGAAGTCACACCCAGGTCTACTCTGTACCCTTGCTTCCTCTGTTGTTCCCTTGGTCACAAGCATACATGGCTTCAGTGGCTGTGTCTGAACTTCCAAAGGAATGCTGGACCCACCTTAAAACCACCACCTAATTTATCCCAATTGTAATCCTTTCCTTCAGAGCAGCCCAGCCCCCATGCCGAGGAGGTTCACATGGTGACTAAGTGAGAGAAACAGGGCAAACACCTGTCCAAGGCTGGGGACTCCAGTCTGCTTGAGAATCCACTAGAAAAACAACAGAATGTCACTTAAACAATGAAAGAAAAGGAACCATTTGCCTTACTAAGCTTGTAAAGGATAGAAAGCAACAAAAGTCCTTCTGTTGGTCTTCAATGAGAATCTAGGGGAACCTGTTTTTCTTTCTTTTTCTTCTGAAGGACTATAGATTGTATAGAATTCTTTTTGCACCAGCACCATTAATGAGGGGGCTTTCCTTCATTGAAACGTTAAATGTTTCATTCCTCATGGTTAGAATAGAAATGAGCTTTTCAAAATAGACGTCTCCAATTTTATGGCTAATTCTTAAAGTTTTACAGACTACATGACATGTCACAGGAGCTCTGGTGGCCTAGTGCCTAAGGCATTTGACTGCTCACCAGAAGGCTGGCAGTTCAAACTCACCAGCCACTCCTTGGAAAAAAGATTGGGCAATCTATTTCCGTAGTGATACTGCCTTGGAAAGCCAAGGAGGGGTCTCTATGAGTCGGATCCCACTCAATGGCAGTGAGTTCTTTTTTGGATGACATATCACAACAGAGGGTACTTCTGGGACTTCTTCGTTATCACATTCTCATGGCTTTGTTTGTCCGGGGGCCTTGAAGCCCCATTGTAGGTCAGTCAGGGCCTCGTTCCCCATCTGCCTCCTTTGGGTGCAAGTACCTTTTCTTTGTGTCTCCACTTCTTTCTGACCGGTTCAGTAATTTTCAAACTCAGCAAAGTCCAAAGCAGGGTCGTTTTCTTGCCTGCCCTGAAGCAGAGCCATGTGGAGGGAGGAAGGGTAGACTAGGGGTAGCAAGAGCGGCCTCTGGCTTCCTGTGTGACTCCATCACTTTCTAGCTGTGTGCCTTTGCAACCTCTGCATCTGGAGAAACAAAAACTGAAACAAACCAGCACAAAACAACAGTTGCTGTCGAGTCGACTCTGACTCATGGTGACCCCAGTGTGTGTCTTAGTAAAACTGTGAAGGCAGGGGCCAATGACTCACCCCTCCACCACCCTCCACCTCTGGTGCAATGTTCTTGAAACTGGACACATTGTTTGCATATGTAACATGGAAATTTCAGTCTGCTTGCTCCCCACCTTTTCCAATGCACTGGTCCCCCTCTTTTTCCTTCTACTGCACAGCAGCCAAATGTGTGAAAACCCACATCATCTCACACTGGGACAGCATTGAATACCCGAGTACAATACAACACAACCAACCTCTCCCCACTTGCAGCGCCCCAGTGTCCCAGGCAGTGGGAATACTTGTGCCTAATGCATTTTATTTTGACCCCATTCTCAAAACGGTGTCCAAATTCATACCAGTTGGCCTTCTTTTAAAGTGCCTCTCACCATTTCTCTGCCAACTTCTACTTCTCTTTGTTCTCCTGTTCTTGCAAGAGAATGGAGCCCACTGTGTCTGGGCTCCCAGCAGTTTCTTCTTGCCTACATGCCTTTTTTTTTTTTTTTTTGTGATTGGGGTGAAAGTTTACAGAACAAATTCACTTTCCATACAGCAGTTCACATACACTTTGTCTCATGACATTGACCACAAATTACC